TCAGCTCAGAAAGGTTAGTCAAAGAAAGAGAGAGAGACAGAGAGAGAGAGGGAGAGAGAGAAAAGGAGGAAGGAAGATTAAGTCACTTGCTAAGGTCACGCTGTTAGTAAGAGTCAGGATTATATTGGGCTCCAAGCTTGTACTATGTCCCCTACATCCAAGGAATGTCAGCTGCTAAAAAAATAACAAGGCGTTCACCTCCTCCCCTAACCGTGCCCATCATGAGAATCTCTGAGGTTTTTTAAATTAGAAGTCAGCCGTGACTGAGCTGAGAATTCGAGGGGCTCAGGCACCAGTGAGTGGTGTGGTGTTAGGGCAGAATGGCTCCTTCCCTTTCTCCTCGAGCTCTCCTGCCTCTGCACCAGTGAGTGGGACAGGCTCTGGTCTGGGAACCCAGAAGACCTGCCCTCCCAGCTGTGCTGCTTCCAGCCCACGAGGTGTGGACAGATCGCCCTGAGTCTCAGTTTTCTTCCTTTTGAAATGGGAATCCTGTTACTCCTATACCCAGTCTGTCAGTTGTTCATCAAACATGTATTGAATGCCTATAATTAGCTAAGCTCTGTGCTCGCCTACGAACAGGACAATAGTCCCTACACTTAGGAACTCAGTCTTATAACTGAGTTAGATAAGAAAACTCCCCAGGACTAAGGAGAGGGGAACATGAGGCAGCCAGAGGAGGGAGATCTGGAAAGCGTCTTGGGGAACTGTCCCTGCTCATCACAGAATAGTCCATGCTCGTCACAGAGTTGCTGGGAGAATTATGAACTTGTGCACATCAGAGACTGTAAGTGGCAGGGGGTTTACAGATTCCAGTTGTCACCGAGTTTAGTGTTTCTTTCCTGACAGCTACAGTGAGCGGGGGCTCACAGACTCTTCTCCAGGGTTGGCACTGAGTTGGGACACAGAGGGTGAGCTCCATTAGCTCTGCACTGCGTCGGGCTTGCGCTGATCTGGGATCCGGAGAAGAGCAGTCCTTTGAGACTTCCCCTGAGCAGAGTGGAGCTGTAGACCACTGCGCAGAGTCCCTGAGCGCCCTCTTCTGCCTTTGCAGGTTTTACAGCACATGAAGGTCGTGCAGGCGGATCAGGAGCGAGAGAGGCAGCGGCGGCAGGAAGTAGAACGCGGTAGGTGGCCATCCCTCTTCCAGTCATCTTCCGGGCCCTGATCCAGCCACTGGTTCTGCTTCAGAAGCTGGATCCAGTGGAGGAGTCGTGCAGAGCAGTGGGGAACAGTGTGGGGGTAGACAGTATCATCTTTGTCTGACGAACCTCTTTCCAGTCTTGGTTTCTCCACTGAGCTCCCAAGTCACGTTCAACTGCTTGTCTGTCTGTCTGCCTGGAGGATTAATAGGCATCTCAGATTCAGCCTGGCTAAACAGGTCCTCAAAGTGTTCCCCAGAAGAGGAAATCAGCATCCCTGCAGTCATTCTAGCCAGGAATAGAGAGTTGTCCTGATTCCTTTCTCCTGTTACTCCTACACCCAGTCCGTCAGCACGTTTGTATGTGACTATTCCCCCGCCTCCAGGGCCAGCACCAGAATCAGGCCTCCATCCCGTGGACTGCCACAGTACCTCCTGACACAATGTCCGGTCTCCACGCGTGTGCCTTCTCTGCAAAGTCCTTCTCCACACAGCAGCCAGATAAATCTTTTAAAACAAGTCAATTATGCTGCTATTTGTTTAAAACCCTCTAATGGCTTCCAATTGAACTTAGAATGAAACTCAAACTCAGTAACATGGCCGTCAAGACCTGCCACAGCCCACGCCTGCTTGCTTCTCCAGCCTTGCCTGCCCCTCTCTGTCTCTCTCTCACACACACACACAGAATACAGTTAACTTCAGCCACACAGGCTCCTGCTTTTGCTGGAACGCACCAGGTAGTCTCACCTCTGGGGCTTTGCTTGGCTTCCTTTTCCCTCAGAGCTTTCCACAGTCGGTTTCGTGTAATCCCTCATGTCTCTGCACAGATGTTGCCTTAGGTTAACCCTTTCTGAACCACCCAAACTAGAACAGCATCCCACGTGTCACTCTCCCTCATGTCCTCTATCATTTACTCCATGGCACATTTCTTTTTTACTATTTGCTCACTTGTTTATTGTTTGTCTCCTTCTCTCCAGAGTAGATGACTCAGGCACTAGAACCTGGCTTGTCTTCACGGCTGTATCTCGAGCACTTAGAACAAGGCCTGGCACCCAGGTGCTGTCGCCTGGCTGGCTGGCTCCTGTGGTACTGATTGCAGTCCCTGAGATCAGAGCTCTGAGTTACGACTGTCCCTTACACGTGCATGGCTACTGTAATGCGTGTTTACTCCGACCACTGCTGCTTCCACTGCTTCATGGCCCAGGCTCTCTGGAGGCTGAGTGTAGCGTGTTCTTGGCATTCCCAGTGCTCAGCTGGAACTGGGAGCCTGTTTGTTCAGAGAGGCAGTGGAAAGCTACAGTACTTATAGTGCTACTATTCAGCTACATGAAGGTTCAAACAGGCCTTTAAGCCCTAAAAGGACATTTAGCCACCATCTGTGGCCTTCTGGCTTTGGAAAAATGTACTTGAGATGTCCAAATAACGAATTTGGCAGTGCATTTTTAGAACCCAATAATTTGTAAGTTGGGGACTGCGTGTAAACATCTTTGAACTGTGAAGTAAATCAGAATAAGTCTAGACATTACGAACTATTCATCTCGCTGTTTCAGAAAAACATTTCCATCGTCTCTACCCCTGAACCTGAGTGCTCACTTTCTCTTCTTGCTTGTCCTTCTCAAGTCACATTCCTTCCCCAAGCGTGGGGAGATAGGACTCCCGTGGACTCAACACCTCCATTGTTGCTTCCTCTCAGAGCCGAGTTGTAGGAGGCTGTCGATCGCTGTGCTTTCTGAGTCGGTACCTGTTCTAGGGGAGCACCGGTCTCATCACCCATGCCTTATGCCCCTCTTGTCAGCTCACCCTGATCTCTTTGCAGCTTGTGGCTAGAAGCCCCCTCATGAGTCCATTCAGCAAACCCCGAGAGCCGTTTATTATACTGCAGGGAGGGCAGAAAGGCAGCTGGTTCCTCTCATGTGTCCTTGTGACCCTTGGCTAGGGGAAGGGCGGCGGAATCCATGCTTTTAATCGCTCGGGAAAGCACACTGGAAGGTGTGGGGAGGGAAGCCATTTGGGGATATCTTTTCCTGTAGAGGCGGAGAAGAAGCGGGAGGCCAAGCAGCGAGCCAAGGAGGCTCAGGAGCGGGAGGTGCGCAAGCGGGAGAAGGCGGAAGAGAAGGAGCGCCGGAGGAAGGAGTACGATGCCCTCAAAGCATCCAAACGGGAGCCCGAGAAGAAACCCAAGAAGGAAACGAATCAGGCATCGAGTAAGTGTTCCCTCAGTAAGGCTCCGGCAGGGGCAGTGGGGAGGCGCACGATGTGTTCCGGCGTGGGTGAACTTGTACACTTGGTCAGATACAGTGACCCCTCGGGCCTGGGAGCACCTCGGAGGGTTTGCTTACAAGGCGTGGGGGATTCTCCTTGGGAACAAGCGTCGGGCCTGGCTGGCTTGTTTCCCCAGAGGCACATGTGGGGTTTTGGTCAGATGTAGCTGAGAGCATTACCAGGACAGGGAATTGCACTTTTTTGTAAGAGTTAGATTCTAAAAAATATATTTCTTTATTGATTTCAGAGAGGAAGGGAGAAGGAGAGAGAGAGATACAAACATCAATGATGAGAGAGAATCATTGATTGGCTGCCTCCTGCACACCCCCCACTGGGGATCGAGCCCACAACCCAGGCATGTGCCCTTGGCTGGGATCAAACCTGGGACCCTTCAGTCCACAGGCTGACGCTCTATCCACTGAGCCAAGCTGGCTAGGGCAAGAGTTAGATTCTAAAGTCACCAAGAAAGGTGAAGGATGCATGTGGTCACATGACTCTTAAGTCCCTCGCATCATCCGTGAAGTACACTGGGCGTGCTTTGTGAGCGTGGTGCCATCTCAGGAAAGCCAGCACTGCCTACGGCTTTCTTTCCGCGTTGGAACAAATTACTCTCTTTTTGCTTGAACACCACGGGAATCATTTGGTTCATGTTCAGGGAGCCATGTGGTATAAAAGACACATTAGCGTTTTGCCTGAGTGTGTCCAGTTGAATCTGTGTTGTTATGTGGCTCCTCGTACATGGGAGGGTCGTATACCCTCTGGGCCAAAGGGACCCCTGAGCAGGGGAGCTCTGGAGGGAGGCGGAGGCCCTGCTTTCCCTTGCTGGCCTTGAGCAAGTTGCCTGACCTCACCACTTCTTTGTTTCCTTGTGCAAAATGAGGATCCTCCTTCTTACAGGGCAGTGACAGGGTAAAGTGAGAACATCATGAGTTCTCACATGAGGTGCTCAGTCAGGCTCTTTTAAATGTTGCTGAGTAATCTCAAAACCATTTTTTCCTAATTATAAAGGTAATATATGTGTTCATTGCAGAAAATGTAGAAAAGTTCTCTCTAAATAGATGAGAAACTGGCAGTCACCTCTAATCCCTCATTCCCAGCAGTAATCACTGTTTTTTTTATATGTATCTTATACAGGGTGGGACAAAATTAGGTTTATAGTTGTTCCTATGGAAAATAATACCGTAATTAATAAAAAATACAAAAATAAACGGTTTCATGTATTCACAACTATAAACCTATTTTTGCGCCACCCTGTATGATATTAACAATATTAATACATCTCAAGGTTCTGGCCGGATAGCTCAGTTGATTAGAGCATTGTCCTGATACACCAAGGTTGTGGGTTCAATCCCAGATCAGGGCACATACAGAACCAATGAGTGCAGAAATAAGTGGAACAACAAATGGATGCTTCTCTCTCTAAAAATCAATAATTAAAAAAATAAAAGTCTTAAAAGTGTTTCCCCAAGTGGGCAGCCCTCCATCCTTGCCTCCTGACAAGCCCCTCCCCTGATCCTGAGGGGCCTGGAGCATCACCATGTTTTCAAGGAGGACTTAGGACCCTGGGACTGTGTGCGCCATGTGAGACGTCCAGAATGAGTTCCAGTGTTGAATGTCTTCCCTTGAATCCAAGGAGAAGGCAGCTTATATTTCAGTCTGCACATAGCAAGTTTTTAAGAGCTCAGATGTTCTTAAAACAATATTCATGCCTAAGGGGGGTGTTCGTGGATCTGCATGGAAGAGAACAGCATTGAATGGTGGAGAGTGTGGGTCTCCTCAAACTGACTGAACTTTGTCTCCTGTGCCTTTGTCACTCCAGAATCCAAGTCCGGCTCTCGGTCCCGTAAGCAGCCAGCCCGGAAGCACACCCGGTCCTGGGCGGTGCTGAAGCTGCTGCTGCTGCTGCTGCTGTGCGTGGCGGGCGGGCTGGTGGTGTGCCGGGTGACGGAGCTGCAGCAGCAGCCCCTCTGCACCAGCGTGAACACCATCTACGACAATGCGATCCGGGGTCTGCGCAGCCACCACATCCTCCAGTGGGTCCTGCAGACCGACCCCCAGCAATGAGCGTGTCCTCAACACCTGCTGCCTCTCAGCCCTGGGACTTGGATTCCTATGGAATTGGGTTCTGCTGGACACAACCTCTTTTTAGCGTCAGACCTACCTGCCGTCATTAAATGGCTGCTGATTGGTACTTGAGACCTCCTCTTTGTAGGACTTCTTTGTTCCTGAGTCAGGGTTCCCTGGTGGAATACGAAGTGGGAGTTAGGGAGAGGAAATAACCTCAGGCCTAAAGGAATAGGCTCGGGGGTGGGGAGAGGAACAACAGCCTTTTCTAGTTGTTATACGGAACTGTAAAGGCAAGGCTCATTTCTCCTAAGTGGTCAGCCGTCACTACATTTACACTTCTGTGTGTCACAAACCCTTTCATTCCTCCCTGGGGACCCAGGGCAGATCAGGAGGCAGTGGGTTGTCATTGGGGATTAGGATACCATGCTCAGCAAATTGGAGGGGAGGGGCATACCTATTTTCTTAAGGGCCTCAGGCATTCAGACATTTTAATGACCATACCGTCTCAGGCTCGGGGACTTCTAGACTACGCAGTCCAATAGAACACTTGCAGATAAGGAACTTGAGGCCGTCCGTGACTTGCTTTTGGTCTCCCAGCTATTTTGAGGGAACTGGACTCCCACTCTGATATTTCTTTCTTTTCCATAATTTTGCCTTCCTTTTAATGTCCTGAGAGGCCAGAATGGAGTATCTCTCAGCCAGAGAGTGGAATCTTTCATGTAGACAGATTCATGACCCACAAGTAGAAATCTCATAGCCTTGAGGGTCTTGGGCAGCTCCTGTGGAGTCCTGCCCCTACTTATGTGACTTCCAGAAAATGCCTCGATTTTAGAGCATTAACTTCCCCATTGCCAGTGAACAAGGCAGAGCCATGCAAAGCCCTCGCCTTCTGTGACAGCTGTTAGTTGGTGTGACTAGATACCTCAAAGGCAACCTGAACACTCCAGCGTCGGAGCCTGAGGTTTAGAATGGTTTGATTCCAGCCCTAGAACTTACCTGGGCAGTGAGGGGATCCAGGAGCATCGAGGCATTTAAAGGTGGTCAGGAATGCTAATGACTTGTGCAATGAAGGGCAGGGCTGTCACTCTCTTGTTGGCCAGAGTGTTTTCTTGCTCAGTGGCCTCCTCTGCTTCATCTTTGACAACAGCTGGATGAAGGGATCAGGAATGGCCATGTCATGGTGCCCACTCACTGAAACTCCCGACTGCAAGTTCCTTGCCCCTCGCCGAGGACAGCAAGAAGGTGTTCAGGTTCAGAGATGAAGAGGACAGGCTCCAGCTTTTTAGGCTTAGTGGTCCACTGGATAGGTTTGCCAGTTGTGATTGTCCTGATCCTGAAAGAAATGACTTTTCTCCCCCAAGGATAGCTCTGCTGTACAGGCCCACCCCTTACTCTGGATCACTACACATTCCTTTAGTCTTCCTCCGAGCTCCAGAGCCACTGGTACAAATGCTTTATTGAAACTAAACACATAGTACATATAAGACGGAGAGAATACAGAAGTGGGCATAGGGATCAGACCCGTTCCCTGGCTGGTTGAGGCAGCCTCAGTGGGCCAACAGGGCTGGACGCCCAGCCTAGAAAGCCAACCCACTGAGGGCACTTCACTCATGATCTCAAGACTTGATGTTGAGGTTCTTTTGGATTTCTGCAACTATTAAATATGTGTCTGAATGGTCTGTCTGTGTTCCTTTGTATTTTGAGGGCTGGCTGGGGCAGGGGTGGCTCATGCATGGCACTTGGTTTTTGCCAGGAGAGGAACACTGAATGCTGGTGAAGATAAATGCAAATATCTCAGCCAGTTGACAGGTAGGGAGACTTTCACAATGGCACCCAGGATCTGTTGTGGCCCTGACCCAGGCTTGTGCTCCAGGCGACACCTCCCTCTCTGCATTGGTCATGTCCTGAGGCAGAAATCTCCAGCTTTTCATCCTGTCCCTTGGGGCTAGCTTCAGTCTGCACTGTCTAAAGAGAGATCTGGCTGCAACGCGGTCATCTGAAGGTAGATGCGCCTGGACAGATCTGGTCCAACACGGCGGGAGGTAGATGTCACGCCTTCCCCACGGCGCACCTGTATGTCTGCAAGCAGATTCTGGCGTTCTTGCTCCGAAAAACACCGCCTATAAGCCTGAAGGTGGAAAATGATCTCTTAATACCACACCATTCACAGTCATCCCTCATCGAGGAACAAGGGTGTGGTGAGCTTGGGTTGGGGGATAAGAATTGTCCCCCCGCCCTAGGTCAATGTTAACTCGGATCTCAGCGGGCCTGCACTGTTGACCTACAAGGCAATCTTGGGCCCTCACCAATGCTATCCGTGAAAACCATCTGGGAGTCCCACTAAGGCCACAGGGTACAGGGCGGTGGCCCCTGCAGCAGCATACCTGGACCAGGAGCTGTGGGGAGGGATAGGCGGCCACAACAGCGCTGGCCATTTCCAGGCTGACTCGGTTCAGCTGCTGAATCTGCCTCCGCCAGACCTGAGCAAGGCCCCTGCCAGCACGGTCCACCTTCGCCCCTCCAGCCCAGTCGCTCTCCAGGCAGAAGGAGAAATTAGTTTGATCTCGGAGTCTCCTGCAAACAGCAGGGATCAAGAGCTGTGAGTCACTGGTTACTTTCCTGAACCTGTCCCCTAACTGGGAACTTAAAACTCCTCCCTCCAGTGACCTTGGAAGAAGTGGGCATAGGTTATATCTTGCTCACTTTGATCCCAAGCAACGCTAGTTACTGCTTCCCTTAAAAATATCTAGTCCTTTTCATTAAAAGAGGAGTTACCAGAAAAGTACCAGAATCTTTAGTTTATGTTGAGATTGGGTTGCACTGACTGGAGAGGCAGCACACAGGGTCAAACACCAGGGACTGGGCCTCAGGCACTGCGCAGTCTAGTTCTGGTGGTTCTAACGAGCTAGGAGCTTGGCTAAGTCCATCTCTTCAGGCCGCAGTTCCCTCAGGTAGAAAACGAGGGACCTGGATTAGATCTCTGAGGTCTCACTTAAATTCTGACTATGAACACTCCCTGAGCTAAGCAGGCTAAAACTTATTTTTACGAGAGGCTGTCACATTGTGACCCGACCTGCACTGAATCCTGGGTAACTTTGCCCACTGGTGAACCTGGACCAACTGGCAGCACAGAACACCTGAAAGGGACTGGGCCTGAGGGCTCTTCCCCAGAATCCCCCTTGTGAGGTCAGCTCCTGCTTCAAGCTTGAGACAATGACTGACAGCGGAGTTCAGGGAAAGGGGCATCTTTGGGTACCAGAACGACTGTAAAGAACTGGACCCAGCAGTGGGCTAGGATTGGCCTGGGCACTTACTTGAAGGGCGCCTCAGCCACAGCCTTCGTGAACGAGCACGCGAAGTCGGCCAGCTCTTGCCAGCTCTGCACAACTCGGGCCTGGGCGTGTGTGTGTAGCTGCAGATCCACCAGTGCCTAAAACCCAAAGGCAGATGGACTGGAAGGGCGGCGAGACTAGTCCGAAGTTTTTCTTCCCTCCACGTTCCCTGAGGCTTCTCTCCTCCCTGTTCCCACCCCCTTGGCTCCTGTTTGGCCCATTCTCTCCTACTTAGTCCCAAGGCAGAGAGAACTGGCCAGCAGGCGTGTCACTCTTTCTCAATAGCAAATCGGGTTAGTAAAATGGGTGCCCGGCCGACTCAGGCAACAGGACGCTCTTACCGCCTCCATGTCTACCCTGGACACCACGGGCCCTGTGCTGGCCTCTGGGGGTCTCTGCTTCTTCCTCTTCTCCTTGGCCTGTTCTCCGTTTGCCACGCCCGGCTTCCTTCTCCTTGGAGGATTTGGAGCACTAAAGCAGGGAGGAAATCAAAGAACGGAAGCAAGCACCTTCAGGCTGAGCTGAGGCAGAAGAGGTGCAAGAAGCCTGGACCAGCGCATCCCCGGGGCTCGGCAGGAATGCTGTCTGGCAGAAGGATCTAGATTTGGGATGAACGACTTCACCCCTGCTGGCCCAAGAGCTGCCCCTTTCGATGCTAAGTCTTGACAAATCCAAACCTGAAGCATTTCTCCTGATCCACAATCACCAGTGACAGAGCCTTTCCCGCTGTCCTTGCCGTGATGTCTGCTACAAAGCTCCGGAGTGTTTCCTTCCCTTTCTCGGTGCTGCCTGGACCTCCCTGCACAAAGGGGCAGGACCTGCATTAGTGTCTGCTCCCTAGAGTCAGCCCTCTGTCCCCGCCCCGGCGCCCACCCCTCCGGCTCTGCCCACCTGCTTGAAGTTGTGGATCATGGACACAAACGCCTCTGCCGGGAGCAGCACCAGGACCATCGGCTCCTCCACCCAGGCCTCCTCTCCATCCTGCCAAAGCACCGGGACCCAGCGGAGGGAGGCAAGTCAGCAGGTGCTCAGCACTGCGAGAGACCCAGGCCTTCTAGAGCAGCGGCTGCCAACCTTTCGGACCTCACGGACCACCAGTGATCTGTGAACCACCAGTTGGCGACGGCTGTTCTAAAGGAACTCTCCCCCATCAGCCTAGCCCATTTTATGTTATTCGTTTTCTTCTGGAATGAAGTCATGGTAGCAAGAACCAATAACCATGATCCTGTCCCTCCCCAGTCCTCAATCAACTGTCCAGCATCTCAAGGCAGTAGATTAGAAAGGAGCCCGGGCAGTGTGGCTCAGTGGTTGAGCACCATCCCATGCACCAAGAGCTCACTGGATAGATTCCGTCAGGGCACATGCCCAGATTGTGGGCTCGGTCCCCAGTAGGAGGTGTGCAGGAGGCAGCCAAGTGATGTTGATGTTTCTTTCTCATCCTTGTTTCTATCTCTTCCCCTCTCCCTTCCACTCTCTAAAATCATTTTTTTTTTAAACTGTTACTTACACAGCTCCTCCACCAAAGACATCAAATTCAAGGGCAGGAAAGGGCTGCAAAGTGTGTAGTTTACGCCTTTTTTGACACCACATTCACTAGTTTCCAAAAGTGAATGGGCAACACAAAGGCTATCAATTTTTTTTTAAATAAAGGAACATTCACAAGTTGAAATGGGCTGAGAAAATTATGAGATCCAAGCAAGAGAGCAAAAATATAATGTTTCATCTACAGACTCTTGAAAATGCGGGGTGGACTATTTTGGATTCGCAGATAAGAGGAGTGGAAGGTACAGGAGGTATAGTAACCTGGGTGCCCCAGGCCAGGAAGGAGCATGTACTATGTGCTTGGTGCTTGGTTACCTCATTTAGTTCCCATAACAAAGGTCGGGGGACTGAAAGGGACGTAACAGTATCCTCATTGTATACATGAAGCACAAAGTGATGAAATAATTTGCCCAGGGTCATAGCCATAAAGCCACAGGCTGCAATTCAAACCAAGCCCGCCTATTCTCAAAGCCCAGTCAGAGGGAATTAGGAATCCTGTGTAGATTAGCTTCCCTCTGCCCCGCAGATCACTCTCCTCCCTTCCCCACTCTCTCTGCCCAAGGAAGGTGATCTCTACAGACCACGTCACAAAGTCCACATGCCCTCTGGCTGGTGGCCCTGGAGATTGGAGGGAGGGAGGAAGGGAAGGAGGAGAGGGAAGTCAGGGTATCTCTTTCCCTGGCCCCCTCCTAATAGGATCACCTAGTGTTTGCTACACTCCTCTATGGGAGGTCACGCTTCTTCCAAGGTGGTCTTCTCTACATTTCTCTCCTGGATTCTGGATTCCAGTAAACACTTTCTCTCCTCATGCCTTCAGGCCTACGCATGATAACAGCTATGATAACCTGGTAGTACCCAACCAGGGCGATTTTCCTCAAAGAAACATTTGCAACATCTGGAGACATTTTCAATTGTCACAACTGGGGAAGGTGCTACTGGCATCTAGTGAGTAAATGGCAGGGATGCTGCTAAATATTCTGCAATGCAGGACAGCCCAGCACAGCAGCATGACCTGAAATGACAACAGTACCTGAGGTGGAGAAACCCTGAATCAATACTGTTATCACCCTGAAGTACTGCATCGTCCTTTGCAGTTTCCTTGTACCTCACCCACGCCTTGGAAAGTAGTTCCTGTATTACCTAAGTTGAGTGTACCATCTGTTGTGTGTGTGTTTTTAATATTGATTTTTTTACAGAGAGGAAGGGAGAGGGATAGAGAGTTAGAAACATCAATGAGAGAGAAACATCGATCAGCTGCCTCCTGCACACCCCCTACTGGGTATGTGCCCTTGACTGGAATCGAACCTGGGACTCTTGAGTCCGCAGGCCAGCGCTCTATCCACTGAGCCAAACCGGTTAGGGCTGTACCATCTGTTTCCCCCCCGGGGCCTTGACTGATATGTATAAGACGGGGGAGGGAGAGGAAAGACATAGCAGAAACCCTACCACAGCCGGCCCGGCCCTCCTCCTCCAGGCGATGCTGCGGGGCACGGCCTGCGCCTCAATCACACAGCAGCACTCCATGGACTGCAGTGCTCCGAGGAGCTGGCCGCCGCCTTCCATCTGTAAAAGCACTGCAACAGACGGAAAGGGCTGTCAGTGGGCGGCCCAGGAAGCACAAAGCTCAGCACAGGGTGAAGACAGATGCTGGGAGGACCTGGATCCAGCGCCACAGCGATGTGCTTTAAGCACTCCTCTGGCCTCCGGGCTTTTGGTCTGTTAGCCAGTGCTGCCTTTTTTTCTCTCTGTGGTTGTCTCAGGGTGCTTTCCTTCCGGCTTGCTTGTCCCTGTGAGCCTCTCCTCTGGACCTTCTGACTGTGCTTGGTTCTCTTCTGAGGTGGGAGGGCCTCGGCATTTGTTTTGGTGACTGACGAGCTGACGCTCCGGGGAGGGCAGGTAGCTTGGTGGGCTGGAACCTGATGGCATGGACTGTCTATCGTAGAGTCCTTGTTATTCGATGTACACTTTTCTGAGGTGTCTTGGAGGGGAACATCACAGATCTTTGGAAAGGGCTGTTTTTTCCAGTCATGTGATGCTCCTTCATTATTCTGATGATCCAAAACGCTTTTACCTGGGGAGTTAGAATCCTCAGGGCTCAGCTGCTTGTGGGTCAAAAACTTACATGTCAGTCTCTCAGCCAGGGGAATAAGTTCCTCCTCATCCTCACTTCCACTGCTCAGCACCCTGACTGGCTGTATTTGTGTGATGGGTTCAGCTGTGTCTGGGACGGGCGGTGGATCTTTCCACCTTGGTGATGGAGGACAGGAGGCCTCAGAATCTGAGGTGTGAACCACTACGATCCTCTCCTCCCTCTGAGGCTGCCTCCTCTTTGTTGAACATGGTTCCTTCTTCAGAAAGGTAAATACTGGCAACTCCTCAGCATCACTGGAAGAGTCCAGGGAGAGCGATGACTTCTTTAGAGCCATTAATACGTGCTACCAAATGAATTCTCTAAAAGACAAAGAAAGATGAGACAGACTGCGGCATTCAATTCAGCCCACTAGGTGTGTTCTATGGCCAAGCTTTATGGAGATAAATACGATATACAGAAACAGAGAAATAGGGTATGTCCCCAACACATTCAACCTGGAACTCAGAGAGCTACACCTTTAGTCTAACAGGAACCCTCCTCAAATCCTTTCTGGGTCAAGGTGAGATATTAATGAAGTGGAAGTTTCTAATACAAAATGTTAAGGGGGCCGTAACAAGATTCACACACCCCTCCCACATTGATCTTTACATTTGAAATGGAGATGACAAAAGTCATCCTTAAAAAAAAAGATATTAACATCATGAAATTCATCCTTTTATTTAAAGTGCATAGTTCAGTGGTTCTTTGTATATTCACAAAGGTTGTGAAACCATCATTACTATCTAATTCCAGAATGTTTGCATCACCCCTCAAAGAAACCCCATAGCCATCGAGCAGTCACTGTCTATTTCCTTCCCCCCAGCCCTTAGCAACCACAAATCTACTTTTTCCTGTTCTGGATATTTCATATCAATGAAATCATACAATATGTGGTCTTTTGTGACCAGTTTCTTTCACTTAGCATCCAAGGTTTATTTTTATTGTAACATGTTCCGGCACTTCATTGCTTTTTACGGCCTCATGATATTCCAATGTGTAGATATCCTTTCCTCACTTGGACATTTGGGTTGTTTCCATTTGGGGGGTATTATGAATAACGCTGCCATTGCACATGCATGGACAAGTGTTTATGTGGATGTGTTTTCAATTCTCTCGCTAGGTATGCAGTTGCTGGGTCTGTGCAAGAGTCATTCTTTGAACAAATTTTTGTAACACTGGAGGTGTGAGCCGGGATAAACCTTGTAACCTTTCTGGGCCTCGCTTTCTTCTTCGTAAAACAGGACAACACCTACTTTTACAAGGTGGTGAGAAATAAAAGAAACCATGCATCTTCCACAGCGCTTACCCCAGTATCTGGCACACAGCAGGAGCTCCGTAAAGTAAGCTCAAGGCCTCGGGAGGGGCCTCATCGCGGCCCCTCGCAGAGCCTCCATAGACTCCTGCAGAATGAGGGCGTGGGGCGGGGGGCCCCAGAGCCCGCTCCTCTACCAGGCCGCTCCTCAGTTCATCCAGGACGCCCAGGCCCGCAAGCCCCTGGGGAGCAGCGCCCCGGAGGGAAGCCAAGCCCAGCCCAGCTCAGCCCACCGCGTCCGCACCCGCGTCCGCACCCGCACTGCGCGCACTAGCTCACCTGCAACTTCTCCCGCTTCTCTTTGAGTTGCCACGCAGGACCCGGAAGTAAAGCCCCCGATAGCGGAAGCAGAACCTTTGTGAGACCGGAAGCGACTGTACGGCAAACATGGCGTCGGCGGTGCTGGCGCTGACGACGCGGGCCGCTGGTAAAGGGACGCGTGGCCGTTCCGGGGGGCGGAGTGGGGGTGGAGCGGAGACCTTGCAGGGAGGCTTGGGGGCGGTGGTGGAGGCCGCTCCCTGCGGAGGACCCTGGGTGCGGGGCCGCGAGGTTTGCAGGGCGGCTGTCGCTGATCACGTGACAGCGGGGGCGCCGAGCGGTGGGTGGTGGTTCGAGGCCCACGTGTCCTTCCTCTGCCTGGAGTGTAAATACCTGCAGCTTCCCTAGCGATTGGTGACACGGGCTCGCCGCCTCCCTTCTCTGGCTTTGTTTGGACACTTTGTATCATCTATATAAATGGGTTACTAACAGGCACTCCGAGCTCACAGAGTTAGTCTGTTGGCTCAACGGGTGGAGGACTTTGTGCCAAACACTGGGGATCTCAGCAGAAAAGAAGACATAGTATCCCCGGGACGATTCTTTCTAGTGACTACGCCAATAAATGAGCACAAATGAAGTGTAAATAGTAACAAGTGCGGTGAAAGGAAGCCGGTGTGTGTGTGTGTGTGTGTGTGTGTGTGTGTGTGTGTGTGTGTGTAGGTTGAGTGGTCAGGGGAGCCCACGAGGAGGTAACATCTAAGCTAAGACCTGAAGGATGACCGGAAGCTTAGCTGACCTGACTCAGCTTTAAACTTCGAGAAGCAAACTCTTGTTCTTATGTGAATCTAGAGACCTAGAGGGTAGGAGTGGAAGTCAGGAAACCAGACTTCCTGACAGATGAGCAATGATTTAGCCGAGATGTTACTGTCAGTGAACTTGGAGGCAAATGGGTGGATTTGAGGTCTGTTTTGGAGGCAGAACCCATTGGGCTTGCTGGTGAACTGGAGATGGAGGTGAGCAAAGGGAAGGAATTGCGATGACTCCTTGATTTCCGCCTGAGCAACTGCATAGGTGGTAGCATCACTTACTTTGAAAAAGAAGACTGAGGAGTAGCGTGAAGGGCGAAGGTTTGTGAATGAGATAATGTAGGTAAAGCAAAAGCCCAGTTCCTGAGCTTAATACGTGAGTAAGTGAACAAATGAAGCAGCATTTAAAGGTAGGTAGACTGTGATGCTGGACATGTATTGAATGTGCCTGTATCTAAATCCTTATCCCTGGTGTTTTTGCCCCAGCTAGTCTCAGTTCTCATTAAAACTTCAGAAACTTGGGCTTTAGGAACTCTGAACTTACAGGCTCCAGAGACCCACAAGATCTCTTATACGTGGCATGTCCCTGGCTAACCATGGCTGTGCCTGGAGACCTGAATGCAAGGACTGCCGGCCCTGGCCTTGTCATATAGCAAGCGGCTTACATCTCCGTTAGTATGAGTTTTAGTTCACTTTCCTTTTTAAAACAAATGCCTCTGAGCACCTTAGAATGGGTATAGAGAGGTCAGATGAACAGGGCAGAGTGTCAGTTTTCTTGGTTGGACCTGTGCTTGGTGGGCTTGCTGAAGACAGGGTCCAGCCTTCTGGAATGCCCAGGATCCCGTGGGAGCCATCCTCAGGGAAGCTGCTCTTTAACAAGTATTTGGTGTGCAGGCGATGGGTGGCTGGCGAAGGAAGTGGTGGGTGTCTCTCTGGGTGTCCTGTTGCTGGGCTCTGTGGTCTGGCCCCTCCACAGTGCTAGGAGCCTGGAGGGCATGATGGTGAGTGAGGCTGAAACAGGCAGCTCTGTGGTGCCCTCTTGCCAACTTCATTTCTGTGGTGTTTGTTTCTCCGCAACAGGGCTGAATGTGTCAAGACCCAGGGCACATGGTGTTTGGGGTTTCTTCCCCCCATTAATATTTTACTGCCCCACCCCTCATCCCCTGGCCACACACACACACACACACACACACACACACACACCCCATGCCGTGCTTACACGCTGGACAATACAAGGAATGACTTGTCTCCTGCCGTGGGAGAAGGCCAAGGGCTTGAGACACTCCCTGAAAACCAACACAGCCAAGTGGCATTTCTGCTTCACATACCTCCTCACCGTCCCTGCTACTGCCTCCTGCCACCCCTCAAACTAGCAAATGGCCCACTGGGGGCGAGAAACAGAGTCTGTCTGAACAGCATTTCTGTTCCCTCTGCAGCTACAGCCCTGCTGAGGCCCCCTCAGGCTGCAGCTCTTGCCGTCAGATATGCATCCAAGAAGACAGGTGGCAGCTCCAAAAACCTCGGTGGAAAGTCACCAGGCAAACGCTTTGGCATCAAGAAAATGGAGGGTGAGGGTGTGCCCTGGCTTTCATTTCCCAGCTGTACCCTATCTTGTGCCCCTGGCGTTCCTTTGAAGAGCAGGAAAACCTGGCCTAGTGCTCTCCGCTTAGCTCACCAGAGCATTTAGCTCCAGATTAAAGAGTCAGATAAAACCTGAGGCGGGGTGGGGGGCCTGAGGAAGAGCAGGTAGTGTTAACCTTGGGCATGCGAGGAGAGGAGGCTGCTGGGTCGGAGACGGAGCTGCTTGCGTTGGACCACCTGGGAGTTGGTTTTACCCAGGGCCAGACTAGAGGTCGGTGTGCAGCGTTTGGGTCAGGACAGTGTGGGCCATCATGTTTTCTGGGCAGTTTGCTGTGCTTCCCATAGTCAGCGCACTGTGGGCTTCTCTTCCAGGTCACTATGTTCATGCCGGCAACATCCTTGGGACTCAGCGCAACTTCCGCTGGCACCCAGGTGCCCATGTGAGTTGTTTTGTGCCCCTCCCCATTTCTTTTCTGGGACCACCTCTCCATGCTCCTAAGCACAGGAATCTATATATATAAAAGGCTAAGCAACCGTTATGACTGGTTGACCGGTCGCTGTGACGTGCACTGACCACCAGGGGGCAGATGCTCAACGCAGGAGCTTCCCCCTGGTGGTCCGTGTGCTCCCACAGCCAACCTCCCACTGCCAGCCAACCTCCCGTGGTTCCTCTTCTGGCCAGCCAGCCAGCCCCAATCACCGGCCAGGCCGAGGAGCTCCACCCATGCACGAATTCGTGCACCAGGCCTCTAGTAATAAAATAAAACAGTTGCGTTTATTGGGTACTTACCAAGTGCCAAGCATTTTGCTGATTCCTGGTCCTACATTTACTCCTTACCCCACCCCTATAAGGTATGTAGGTATCATCTCCATTTTACAGGTAAGGTGCCAGAGACTTAGAGAGTGGAGGGGCCCAAGTGACAGAGCTGGGATTGGAACCTTGTCTGCCTGACTCCCAAATCACTGTGTTTTGCCTAGGGATAGCACTGGTTTCCCTTCTAAACCCCAGTTCTTTGAGAAAAAGATGCCTAGTGATTTAAGATATTTTTGAATCTTGGGAAACTAATTTTAATGTATTCATTTTTCTTTATTTCTAAGAATTCCTTCTTTGCATAAAACTGTTACTAGGTAGCTGAAAGAGAGCTTGAATTTATTAGTACAATAGAATTGAATGTGTATATCAGAAATTAGGTCCATATCAAGCAGGGATTTCAGTTCAGCAAGTTAAGATTACTTTCTGAGGTAGGAAATTTCTTGGGTAACACAGGTCTGTACTGTACTCTTCACATTTTATTTTTCTATTTATTTATGCTGTTTGTTTGTTTATTTATTTACTTATTTTTCTTCTCCCCCCCCCCCCCACATTATTTTAAAATTAGTTTAGCCCTGGTCAGTGTGGCTCAGTTGGTTGGAGTGTCATCCCATACAGCAAAAGGTGGTGGGTTCGATCTCAGGACAGGGCACATGTGAAAGGCAACTGATTGATGTTTCTCTCTCACATTAATGTCTCTCTCTCTCAAATCAATTAAAAAAATTAGTTTCCTTGTTAATCAATGCCCCCAAACCCAACCCCTTTTTGAGCAATTTTAGTAGGAACAGAAGGACTGATAGTAACCTATAGTTATTTCAGAAATATTAATGCATATGTGAATTGATTGTATTTGTGTAGCTTTATATTTTAGAACTTTAGACTGTGTTGCTATGTTAACTCTTGGGACTTGCTAAAATAATGACAATAATAAGAGCCAACATAATTTGAACTAGGGCCGTGGTTGGCAAACTGCGGCTCGCGAGCCACACGCGGCTCTTTGGCCCCTTGAGTATGGCTCTTCCACAAAATACCACAAAATACCACATGCGGGCACTCACATACAGTGCGATTGAAACTTCGTGGCCCATGCGCAGAAGTCAGTATTTTGTGGAAGAGCCACACTCAAGGGGCCAAAGAGCCGCATGTGGCTCGCATGCCGCAGTTTGCCGAGCCGCAGTTTGCCAACCACTGAGCTAGGGTATTCCAAGTATTCTAAGCTCTTTATGATTGTTAATTCATTTAATCCTCAGGGCAACCTTATAAAGTAGTTAATATTAGCCCAATTTTGCAGATGAAAAAATGAGACTCTGAGGTAAAGTAACTTGCCCAGATCAAACATAGCAAGTAGTAGTGCTGGGATCTGAATGAAGCATCCTGACCCCAGAGTCCTTTCTTTTAAGCAGAGAAGTAATAAGTAATGCCGGACTGCCTGGGTGAAAATTGTCACACATCCAATCTCAAGTTCTAAGAAAAAAGCTAAAATATATAATGTTAAAAAACTAAGTACAACACACAGTTTATTTAATCACTGTTTGACATACTTACCTGAAAAACAGAAATAATACCTACTAAACAAGGTGAGTACTAAATGGGTCGATGGCTATAAAAGGGCTTAATTATTATCTCTCTATATAAAAGCCTAAGTGACCATTACAACCAAATGACTGGAACAACCAGAATGACCAGACGACCAGCTGGTAGCTATGATGCACACTGACCCAGACCTTGCTGTTGGGGCCCTGACATCCCCGAATCTGGTTCACCCAGACAGGAGGGAGGAGGGAGCCCAATTCCTTACGGAATCAGCCATTGGTTAGCTTGCTGCTGGGGCCAACCTCCCGTGGTCCCTGCCCCCCTTCCCCCCGCTGGCCGCCCACCCCCTGACCCCCCAGCCCCCCACCATCAACCCCCATCACTGGTCAGGCCAAAGGACCCACCCGTGCATGAATTCAT